AAATGTTTGTCCACAGTTTTAGTCATTAGGTTTTGATTTCTTCCTTTGCTTCACCAAAAACTGTCCACAGTTTTAGTTATTGGATTTTGCTTCCTTCCCTTACTTCACCACATGGCTGCAAGACAAAATGGTTTTAACCTTGCGCAAAACCATAGTTGACCAAAATGGCTTTTTGAACAATGGACCATAAAAATGGCTTTTGTAACATGTAAATGCCATATTGGCATTGGGAAATAGATTGGCCAACTTGGCTTTTGGGAACAGTGACCATAAAATGGTTTTGCAAAACATATCTGCCATAGTGGCATTTGGAAGTGGATTGGCCAACTTGGCTTTTTTGGAGTGACCATAAAATGGTGTTCCATTGGCTGGAACTCAAAGACAAACAGCCTGGGCAGTGTATGGGCCATGTGATCAACAAGCAAGATTTATTGTATTGCCAACACATTTGAAACCAGTATATGCAGTATGGCTGTCTTTATGGGAGCTTCAAAATAATGGTGTCATATAGACCATTGAAATAGACAAGGAACGTTCCTGGCCACTGAGGGGTGCAAGGTGGCCATTGGCTTCATGAAACAACTGCTCATTCTTGGAAACCTGTACCTTTCTCTTGCCTTCATCTTTGGACATCTCTATCGCTATGGAACCCTGCAGAAGGCTGGTCTGGATTCCAACACCCAGCATGGCCATGCCCTTGGTCCAAGCATCATGGTAGGACACCGCGGTCCCACCCCTGTTGTCAGGGTGGCATAGAATTTGTGATGGTTTCAGGACCACTTTGTGGGCCAACCCATGAAACTCCAACAGGTCAATGACCTGGCTGACTTTCTGGTTGATGGCCAAACTGCCATCCATCATGGCTTTCACTTGGGCAGCCACTTTCTCCACCGTGGCTGGTTCAGAAAAAGGCTTGGTACTTGGTTTTTCACATACAGATGCACCGATGGTGGACCTTGGTTGATTGCTGTTCTTCTTGGATGTGCCATTTCCTTAATTTGTGGAAACAGCAGCACCATTCAAAAACATCAGCCTATAGGTGTTGTCAATGGAAACTGTGGATTGATAATGGTTCTTCTTGCTTTGATGATTATTGTAACAATGGCCATGTGTGGATTTTTGTGACGTTTATTCTTTGTGCTTTTTAGGCCAAACATTGGCTTTTGCAATCCTTGGCTGCAACTTGTCTTTTTGTTGCCACCACTGCTGTGGTCACCTGTGGCTTCAGCCTTCCTTTGCGGTCTTGTAACCTCTGCTGGGTTGGGCAAAGGCAATTTGGCAGCCAGCTCCCAAATGGCAAATGACTTCTCTCAAAGGTTCTGGCTCCATGGCACTTGGTTGGTCTTTGGCCACCAACCAAACACTTGTCACCTGCTGCTTCCATGGCTTTGGCTTTTCTTTTTTTGGTGCCTTTGTTTGCTGGCATCTCTGAGTCAAACAATTCTTGGCCTTCTTGGGTATCTTCTTCTGGTGCTGCCAAAAGTTCTTGGATCTTGTCATTCCTGGCTTGGACCAATGTTTGCAATTCCTTGCTCTTGGCCAAGCTGGGGTTCTTAGTGGGCAGCTTGCCACCGCAAACCAGTTGGCAAATGGCATAGTTGGTGGCACTGATCTTGAGGAACTTTTGGCCTTGGTGCTCCTCAACCAAGTCTCTCACTGGCTTCTCCTCTTGGTATGTGATTTGGCAGCGGTAGGAGATGTCCACCATTGCTGGCTGCAATTTGCTGGCACTGGAGTTGGCAACTCTGGTTCCTAAAAAAGGGTATAATGCATGCCCACAGAAAAATTGAAACCAAATATGGCCAAAACATGGCTTTTGTAGGTTGTGACATGTCATGCAGAATGTGCCACAAAACATGCATTTCTGTTTTGACAAGCTTTTGCATGTCCACCAAAAAGGAAAATCATTTTTGAAAATGTCAAGAACAAAAGAAGTTCAGGAAATAAATATGCTCAATTCAGCAACCAAAAACCAGATATAATTTGTTATGTTGTTTTTTGTTTGGTCCGCGCATATCTACTTAATGCAAATAATATACAACCACATCATCATTTTCTGGCAAATGAAAATGAGCTAGATCAAGCTCAAAAAATTATACAGAGTTAACATGAGTTAAGTTAGTTACATAACTTCATCAGAAAGTTACTAACTAACTTAACATATTTTAAAAATCAACACTAGTTGTACATAGTTAAAACCTAGTTATACTTAGTTAACACATAGTTGTAACGAGTTGCTAATTCACATAAGTGACCATAATTATGTTAACTCATTGTAACAAAACAAGGATCAAGTAAGGGCGTTGGCACAGGACGCGTGCCAACTCTTTTGACGCTAAACGCTTCATTCGAGTGGAACCTTAGCCCCGGGCACCCGGATGCCGTGAGCTCAGTGGCGCTTGAGCGCAACGTCTTCATCTTTCCCCATCTTCAAATCCCCCCATGTCCTCTCTACATCTCTGTCTCTCTACCTCCAGCATCTCTCCACCCACCCATTCCAGCTAGCCATCCATCGGCCTACCTACAAGCGCGCCCAAAATATCGAGAAGAATCAATTCAAACAAGGGAAAATGCCTTGATGGCTACCCAACCGGCTGAAAAACCGCAAGCAGACCTGAAGCAAAACATGGACAACGGTGAGGGCGAAGAAAAGGAATACGGCGAAGCAGCTGACGAATCTGTTGAAAACGTCGGCTAACAATGAAAACGTGTGAAAACCTTATGAACTTAGTGGGCCGAAAGTAGGTCTACAATGCGAAACTCACCGAGAACTCACAGCGGTGAAGAAAAGAACCTGTTGTCGTTGTTTGCCACAATCAGGCTGGGTTCACTGTGCGCAGCCAAATGGCCCCAACTTTGTCCTCTCTTCCTGTCACCGTAAGAACCCTGTAGGAGATATATAGAGAATACATATATACCATGCAGGTGACAGAAACAGATGACAAGAAAAAGGAGAAAGCCCCAAATCCTTAGCTCAAGGTCCTGGCCAGAAAACCAGGTTCGGAGAGGTTTACGAAATTTCAGTCTTGATGATTACGTTCCTATATATTCTTCAAAAACATGCTTTGCATCTTACTGGGATGAACTGTGGGTGTATAAAGGTTAGTAGGGTGTATTTATGACATACTTAGATATATATATATATATGGTACAAGTACGGTATAACATGGTATACTATAGTATAACTTCTAAACGTTTAGCAACTTGAAGTCATAAGAACGTAACATCATTTATGCTAAGTTTTACGACCATGTAGCATACTTATAAGTAGTTATAAGTAGTTATGACAGTTTACAAGCAGTTTTGTAAATGGTTATAACTTGGACCTGTGAATGTTATAACACTTACAACTCACCTCATTACTTCTAGTAACTGCTTTAAACCCACGGTTCATCCCAGTAGGTGTTCGACAACTCTCTTCGCGATGTCAGTATGCATCGAAACAGACTTTAACAAATTCATTGTCATACAAGCGGTCTTTGTGAACTGAGACGTCTCCTTCAGGACTGTGTTCGGGTTTGACCCCGTTGCGGGTCACTGTAGTCACTGCGACTAACAAGTCACGACGGGTTATGGGTGAGTCGCGAAAGGCTTTAGGGTGACAGCAGCAAAAACTAAAAGAACACAATTTTACTAGTTCGTTTGCTTGGTTTTCCCTTTATGTGAAACAAAACCCAGTGAGAAGTTGACTCCGCTCCACAAAAACACACACGCGCCAACATGAGTCATGAGTTGTTGACGTGGAAATCAAGCGCATGGAGTCACGAGGAGTGCTGTTGAGTCCCGGGTGGTCAAACTCAAGAGCTGGGCTGTCCGTCGACCACCATGGAGAGCACAACGATCACGCTGAGCGTCATGACCTGACACGTACATTTCCACAAGAGAGCAAACACAAAGTTTAAAGACAAATTCTGCGTTGAATTTCGTTCCAGCGTTGACAGTTTTCCAATAAGTTTACACTTTTGCGTGTTCCACTTTGCGGCGGCGAGTCTCTCGCTGTGACATTGAGGGCCCCAAAGTTTAAGTCCATCCTCAACGACGTCGCCAAGCGGAAGATGTCGAATCGCAATGGAACATCGGGAACGACCAGTGATTCGAACGCTGACAACGAAGGCAACACTTGCTTTACTTTGAGTGGCCCCCACCTCTATATGACTCTGAAGAAGTCTACAGGACGATATAGACGTCAAAATGGCTCCAAAGACGTCTACATGAGCGTATGGCTTTATACACGTCTATATGAGTTTACAAACGTCTACATTCTTAGTCTTTGAGCGGCTGGGGGTAGTCATGTTGGGGTGTGAAACCGAAATTGCGAAGTTGTTCTGGCAGTGCGTTTGCATCTTCTGCCCTTCTCATCTGGCTGAAAGGCATCTTGCTCTAGCAGTGTGCGCGCATCGTCTGCAGCTTTCTGATTTGGACGAATGGCAGCTTGCGCGGCGAAAGGAGACGATTGGGCGTGGTGGGAGGGAGCAATGTGCGCCGTCACCAAGACTGGACCCACCTCCCTGCGCCAACTTCTTCAAGAAAAAAGCGCAATCACCTTCAGTGAGCTTTCCCTAGACCTTCCTGTCAAGCGCTGAGTGCCTATTGGTTCTGGCGTCAAGTTGCGTTCTGACATATCTTTCAAGCATAAATGGTGGAAAATGTTCTGGAATGTGTCCCTAAACGTCCTTTTTGGCGTGTGTTCTGACATGCGCCGCGTCGTAAAATCGGACATGTGCTCTGACTTATCCTCTGGATCTACGTCTGACATGTGTCAAGTTGCAGATGTAATCTGAATGCGTTGAGGCATTTATGGTCTGACTTTGGTTCTGTTGTGCGTTCTGACGTGTGTTATGATATATATGTTCTGTCGCCAAACAGAGGTCTAGCGCGCAGCGCTCGCGCAGCCGCCAAAGCGGTGACATATAGAATCTAGAGACTCTCGGTTGACAGGAGGGAAAAACTTTAAACATTTAATTAACGACAAAGCAAAGAAGATACATCGTTTTGCTTGTTTGTTGAGCGTTTTTCTCAGATGGTTGCGGGCGGTCGATGCACCACCCCACCAGGACCGAAAAGGGCACCACAAAGAGCGCAATTTGCCTACGCCGTCAATCCAGTTCTAAAGAACAGCGTTCATCTGTCAAAACATGTGCGACAAGACGCGCTTCAACTAGTAACTAGACGCTACTAGTAGCTAGGGGCGTCGCTACTAGTAACAAGGGCCTCGCTACTGTAGGCACAAGGGCATCGCTACTAGACTAAATTAGTAACACGGGCATCGCTACTAGTAACGCATCGCTACAAAAGTATCAAGAGCATCCATGTATCCAGGGCATCGCTACTAGAAACAAGGGCGCTGCTATTGGTAACAAGGGCATCGCTACTAATAGCAAGGGCATCGTTACTATAGTAACAAGGGCGTTGCTACTAGTAACAAGGGTATCGCTACCAATAGCAAGGGCGTCGCAACTATTAACAGGGGCGTCGCTACTAATAGCAGGGGCGTCGCAATTCTGGTAACAAGAGCATCGCTATTCTATAGCAACAAGGCATCGCTGCTATATAGTACCCTTAATAAGCGAAAAAATTGTTTTGCCAACCGTAACATTTACGTGGTTTTCTTGTTTTAACTAAGGAAATTTACGTACAAATTACGTAAAGGTAAATGTGAATCCCATTCAGGTAAAAAAGTAATTTCTAAGTTCATGTTTAAGTTTTTGTAACCGTGATTTTGGATCAGAAATAATCTCAATTTATGTCAGCTGACTTTGTCCAACCAGGCAAGTTTTCTACAGGGCAACATGTACTTGAGGATATTTGCGCTATGGATTTTTGTTTTTTTGTTGACTGAGCGTGCCAGGTGTTAACTTTTCCTTTACTTGAAGGGAGGGCATTCACTAGAGCATGTGTACCCTTCTTGACTTGAGGGTGTCTACTTGAACGATGAAATTTACTTGAGGATATGAACATTTCACTTGAGGGTATTTATCTTTCTGATGAGAGGCCATTACTTGAGGTACAGCCATGAACTGCTGGCTTCTTCTTCGGCTTTGTTGTCTCTTCACTTGCCGCTGCCTTTTCAAAGGACCATTCTGGGCCTTTGCCGTTGACTTTGGCTCGCCCTTTTGCTTTCGCCTTGGGAATCATTGCTTTGGGACTTGCTGCAGCCTCAGAGACAGCCTTGTCTTGTATATCTGGTGGTGTTGCTTGGCCCAATGGAACTTCACCCTCCGCCATGTCGACAAAGAAAGTTAAAGCTAATGCGCGGTATCCTTTCAAAGGTCTTTGAGATCAATCTAACTACGAGCGTAAACAACAACCAACAAGCAAGCTGTCCAGAAAACTCTCAACAACTTTGACTTTAACAACACACAATGCTGATAAACTGTTCCTGCAAAATCGATTATGAAACCCGCAAAAACCCTAGGTGTGTTCTTTGCTGACAAGATGATGCAGAACATTATAACCTTTCTTAAAATCTGGCCAGAACCTAAAAAGAATTTGTCCTCCTGATGTGCTGTCAAAAGTGTATACACGTTTGATGAATAGTGTGTGTACACATTTAGGAAAGAGAGCAAAACGCTGTGGGAGTGCACTTTTTTTGCTTTTTGTACTTTCTGTTTGCTGGATTTGCTCTGTTTGCTGATGACATGACATTGATGGACTGTGAACGTTGTAGTTTTGCAAGGCTCCATATATTTTCTAATTCAGCTTGAACTCACAGTTTATCTAATTCAAACTCAATTGTTCTAATTACTATCAGGGACAGCCAGTTAGAATACGCTGTAAGTATTCAAATGCAATTAGAACATGAACAATTTAAACCCAGTATCTTTTTGTTGTGCGCAGTTGGAATATGTTCTTATGACTGTTGATGGTTCTTTATGTTAGGCAACGAGTGCAATTTCAATATGCCTTATGGAGAAGAGACGGCCGAGAAATTAGCAGCCGATAGCTGCAGATTTGATGCGCAACCTTGAGGTCTGGATTTTTTGTGTTGTTGTCTTGTTTTTGTTGATGTTTCTAAACAAAATTTTGAGCCAAACAAGCAAAAAAGTACTAATTCTTGGTGGCCTTGGGGTCTGGGATTTAGCTTGTTGTTTTTGTTCTTTGTTGATTTCTATTTATGTCTTCCTGGCTTTGGTGTAAACCAAAAGACCAAAAACAAAAAACAACATATTAAGCCAAACAAACCCAGAGTAATAATTCTTGGTGGCCTCGGGGACTGAGATCTTTTTGGTTTTTGTTTGATTTCTCTTTATGTTTTCCCGGTTGATTTGAATACTTTTCAGCATTATTTTGACCAATGTAAAGCCATTGCAGTCAATGCAAATGCGCTAAGCAGAAATTGCCAATGGCTGCGAAAAAGTAAATGACTTGGCCTTTGCAGATGCGCCTGGCAGAAATGTTGGAATACGTATGTAAGTATGATGAAATAACGCACTCCCTGGGTGTCCCCTTCTGTTGGTGAACAAATTACATAAGTGCGTCAAGAATTCATCAACAATTCATCTCAAATTTTTTTGCTTCTTTGAGCAACATTTCACAAGTAAATACCAAATACATTACAACTCGCAAAAAAACTAAACACACAGTTCCAAGTTGAATGACATCCTCATGTAAAGGATATTTACAAAAAGTCTCAGCCTGAAGTATTGCAATGATTTCTCAAGTGATTTCTCAAGTGAAACCACATCCTCACGTAGAAGAACTCTCAAGTGAATTCGCATCCTCAAGTAAGAGCTTCTCAACTTCTCAAACAAATCACATCCTCAAGTACTGTAAAAGCTTCTCAAGTGAATTCACACTCTCAAGTAAAAGCTTCTCAAGTGAAGTCATATCCTCAAATGGCGCACAGTGCAAAGAAAGTGTTTGTTGTGTTGGAAGGAACAGTTGACGTTTTTTGCGCTCATTTTTCTATTGCTTTCTTTGAACCGTTCTTTGTTAGGCGGCTTTTTCATTTGCAAATCAAAAAACCATGACCAGACCAAAAACCTCAGTGAAGACCAACCTGAATATATATATATATATATTTTGTACCAAAATCTAACTTACCAAGTACAAGCCACAAGCTAAATTCATCAGTTTTAGAAACGATAAATTCGCTGATTTCCGTGACTTACGGTAACAAGGGCGTCGCTACTAATAGCAAGGGCGTCGCCGCTATATAAAAAAAGGGCATCCCTATTCTAGTAACAAGGGCGTCGCTTCTCTAGTAGAAAGGGCATCGCTACTCTATAGAAACAAGGGCATCGCTACTCTGAAGTAAACTCTATATAGAACCAGGGCATCGCTACTCTAGCAACAGGGGCGTCGCTATTATACTCTAGTAACAAGAGCGTCGCTACTCTGGTAACAAGGGCATCGCCACTACTAACAAGGGCGTCGCTACTAGTAACTAATAAGGGCATCGTTACTAGTAACTCAAAGCACCGCTACTAGTAGCTAAGGGCGTCGCTATTAGCAACAAGAACACTGCTAGTTACTAGTAGCTGCACCTAGCTGAACTCAAAACCTAGACACGTCCCCTGGGGCCGGCGCGTCGACGAGCCCACAGCAATGCCGATCGACAGGCCGGGTTTGTCCTCGACTCGCAGCGCGACCGAAAAACCCGGAGAGAGGTTGGCCAGTTGGCGCTCTCTCTCTTCGACTCAAACCGTTGGAGCTGTCTGCGCCGCCACAGTGACTTGAGGTACAAGGCGGGGCGTGGTGCAAACATCGGCGCAAACATAGGTGGACCAAGGCTTGCGCAACGTGAGACATCATGACAAAGTGGGAATACTTTCTTGAAGGGTGTGAGTGACGGCTTCAACGCAGTGCCTTGCCTCTTCGACGTCCACATTTCCTGGGCATCATACCTGTCTAGGCCGTGGACGCCATATTGGCGCCAGCAATGCGCAGCTTTGCGCGCGGCTGCGGTCCAAAAGGCTTCTTTGAGCTTGAGCAGTGTTGGCCGCGTTAGATTACTCTCGCTGGCACTGACCATTCACGATTGCAACGCAAGCTTTGGCCACATTCTGCAAAGACTTTCAGCAAAGCTTCACGAATGGTTTTGGCCTTCTTCGGCGCTGCTGATTGCTTGACTCCTTGCTCGGTCACGCCACTGTCCACTTGTTCTTGAAGGCTTGGCTCCTCCTTGCGTCTGAAAAAATCGTTGAGCGCAACCCGCATTGCTGGGCCTGGCGACGAAAGTGAAGCCTTGATCCAATCTTCCCTGTGTGGCCCTTGCCGACGGCACGTCCTAATTACTTGCTTCTCTCGCTTCCCTTCGCCCGTTTGCTGCCAGAAACAAATTTGCGCGAAGCCTTTGTCCGTTCCAGCTCTTGCCTTTGTACTTATTTTGAGTTTGCCTGCGCCGCCAAGTGATTGAATGAATGAGTCAGTGCAGCGAGCGAGGCAGGAGAAAAGGGACATACAAGAGCCTGCGAAAAAACGCCGTCGCTACATTAGTATCGTCGATCGGCAATTTCCTATAGCTTCTGATGAATCGCGCGCGGCCGGCCCCATTACTTCTTCTGCTTTAGTTCTTTCCAACGGGGGGGGCAGGCTATTGGCCCAGGTTGGTGGACCATAGTTGCAGACTGAGGGCGATCTCTGCTGACCGTAGTGTGCAGAGCGGACGCAGCTCAAAAAACGCATCCTTTGCGCCGTCGGAGTCACCAACTTCCACGGGCTTGAAACCGACGCGGAGCCTGTTCTCTCTTGGCGCCACGGAGCGCGGCCAGCGCCTCTTGTCTTGGAAGACCAAATGTACGCAAACAAAAACAAATTTCACAAACTTTCTGCGCAGGTCCTTTTGCCCAAGAGGCTGGTACCTTCTCTGCTTGCAAGCCTGCTTGGCACGAGACACAGGTGACCAGATGAGTCAGGGGAGCAGCGCCGACGCGTGTACACGCAACCGCTATACACAGGGTTTCAGCGACAATGCGTTGACACTGTCAAAGGAAGTTTAGTGATACACCACTCATCATACACCACTCATCATACACCGCTCATCAAACACCACTCATCATACACCACTCACCATACACCACTCATCACGCACCACTCATCATACACCACTTATCACGCACCACTCATCATCCAGTTAGCTCTAGTTTCAAGAGCTCTAGCTCCATTTAGCTCTAGTTTCAAGAGCTCTAGCTCCAGGTAGCTCTAGTTTCAATAGCTCTGGCTCCAATCCACCTTTAGCTCCAGGTAGCTCTAGTTTCAATAGCTCTAGCTCCAGTTTTCGTGGCAGGCACAGCGCTTTGTGAACCTCCATGCGCAGATTTTGTGGCAGGCGCAGCACTTTGTGAACTGCAGGTTTCGTGGCAGGCGCAGCACTTTGTGAACCTCCATGTTCAGAATTCGTGGCAGGCGCAGCACTTTGTGAACCTCGAGGTGCAGCTTTCGTGGCAGGCGCAGCACTTTGTGAACCTCCATGCGCAGCACTTTGGCACGCACAGCACTTTGTGAAGCTCAAGGTGCAGATTTCGTGGCGAGAACAGCACTTTGTGAACCTCCACGTGCAGATGTTGCGGCAGGCGCAATACAAAATGCGTTTCGAGAGATAGCGGACGAACGAAATGCTGTGTTTTTCAATATAAAGGGTCTCGGGTCATTCTCGGATCATTCTCGGATCATGCTCGGAATCGTCCCTCCATTGCGGTTAGAGTTTTCACTTGTTTCTTGAAGCGCAGGTTTCGTGGCAGGCACAGCACTTTGTGAACTTCCATGTGCAGATCTCGTGGCAGGCACAGCACTTTGTGAACCTCCATGCGCAGATTTTGTGGCAGGCGCAGCACTTTGTGAACATCGAGGCGCGGATGTCGTTGCAGGCACAGCTCTTTGTGAACCTCCACGCGCAGGCTGAGAACTGGTGACTTTGTAGTAGAACTTTAGTGCGCGGAGTAGGTTGGGGAGCTGGAGGCTGAGAACTGGCGACTTTGTAGTACAACTTTGGTATGCGGAGTAATCTGGCGAGGTGGAGGCTGAGAACTGGCGACTTTATAGTACAACTCTAGTACGCGGAGGAACCTGGGGAGCTGGAAGCCGAGAACTGGCGACTTAGTACAACTTTCGTGCGCGGAGCAATCTGTGGAGCTGGAAGGTGAGAACTGGCGACTTTGTAGTGCAACTTTCGTGCGCGGAGTATCTGGCGAGCTGGAAGATGAGCAACTTTAGTACGCTGAGCAGTCTGTGGAGCTGGAAGCTGAGAACTGGCGACTTTGTAGTACAACTTTAGTGCGCGGAGTATCTGGGGAGCTGGAAGATGAGAACTGGTGACGGTGTAGTACAACTTTAGTACGCGGAGTATCTGGGGAGCTGGAAGATGAGAACTGGCGACTTGGTAGTACAACTTTAGTACGCGGAGCAATCTGTGAGCTGGAAGCTGAGAACTGGTGACTTTGTAGTACAACTTTAGTACGCGGAGTATCTGGGGAGCTGGAAGCCGAGAACTGGCGACTTAGTACAACTTTCGTGCGCGGAGCAATCTGTGGAGCTGGAAGCTGAGAACTGGCGACTGTGTAGCGCAACTTTAGTGTGCGGAGTATCTGGGGAGCTGGAAGATGAGAACGCGCGACTTTGGAGTTAGTCATCTCTCGCGGCTGAGTCATCTCTCGCGGCTGCTCTGGCGCCGCTGCAGCTGAGTCATCACTCCCGGCCAACCGGCTCTCTTGAGAGGTTGACAAATTTTAGCCAATCTGCTTTCTTAAAAGTTCTCATTTCGATTACTGTCCGTTGAGACAAGCTATCACCTCATAGTTATAACGTCTAGATCAACAGCTCTAGCTCCAGTTAGCTCTGGCTTCAATAGCTCTAGCTCCAGTTGGCTCTAGTTTCAACAGCTCTAGCTCCAGTTAGCTGTAGTTTCAACAGCTCTAGCTCCAAGGTGGCGCTGTGTTGGTCAAAAGTGCGGAGAGCGTGCGTCTGGCTGAGGGACACGCATGTTGGCTGCTGCAAGGTGTTCGTGTGTATTGTTGTTGCGTTTTGCAAGCGCCGGTTTTCTACATTCCGCGGCTGTTTTGGTTGCTCGACGTCGAACACAACACTGGTCGCAGATGATTTTGTTAACAGGTCAGTTTGTACTTTTGATTGCGCATGACCAGTGGCTTCAGCACGCCGGTGTCGGCTGCTGTTCTTGCTTTGGCGTAGACACAACCCAGTACACTGTTGCGAGCTGCTGATCTTGCGCAGACCTTGCACAGGTGGGGCTGCGTTGGTCAAAAGTCCGGAGCGCGTGCGTCTGACTGAGGGACACGAGGGACACGCATGGTGGAAAGAACTGGCGCACTCCTATAGGTCAATTTGTTCTTATAGGAAACTTCCGCAGCCGGCTTGCCCGGAACTGCTTGTACCAGTACATACATATACGCATAAATGCCCGTATACATGTTTTAACAAAAAACTGGTTCATACTAAGTTCATACACATGTGAGAATACCGCGAATCAAAGCCAGGGTACCTTGGTCGCCCTAGACCCGGAACGTGTTGGGCGTAAGGGCCGACCAAAAACAGAATTGCGCAGCGCAGCTGGCGCCGCTGCGCAAACCTGACACGTCACTGCGTCCTGCATGGCAAACCGTACTGCCGCAGCGTGCTCACAGGCGTTGCCAACAATGGGCAGTAGGATGATGCCTATGAAGTGTTCGCCTCGAGAATGAACTCTCGGGATGCTCCTCTGCTATCGACGGTTGAATCAAACTGAGAACTCCACCCATGTGGGCGTCTGCGGTCATGTTCTCTATGGAGTCCACCTGGGAGCTTGTCATTTCACACTCAAAGTGCAGTTCGGTGGATTGGGATACACCTATCTTCTGCAACCGCCTTTTTTCAAGGGCTTGGGTTTAGTTTGTTTCGATGTTTTTCCCCAAGCAGTGTGGTCACACAAGGGGTTCTTACGGTAAGTGTTAAGGGCCATTGTTGAATCGAGGTGTTGCGTCGGGGCGTCCGGCTAGTTCGTTGCTATGCTGCTATGTACAGCGCATTCACGCCTCTCGAAATCCTCGAAATGTATTTCGACTGCGCAGGCTCGCGAAATCTGCGTGGCTAGAGCGGGCGCTTGGCGCGACTGCGCTCTCGTTGTGGCGCCGCGCGCATTTTCAGACATGGTGGTAACTTTTCGCGGCAGTCGCTGGGGAAACCTCGTGTTTTGGAAACTTTTCATGACAAGCGCAACGCAAAGGATCGGAGCAGCGTTACTTCGAAATGCAGATTGACCCTCCAGAAGGGCACAAGACACTTCCCCAAACCAAAGTTGACCCTCCAGATGGGCACCCTTCTCCAGGTCACCGTTGTTCACAGGAAAACGAAAATCACATTGAATCACCTTTGAATCATTTTAAATCTTTTTTGAAGCTTATAAAATCCTATTTGCGCACTTGTTTGCTTTAAAAGTGCAATACAGCGATTAAAAACAATTTGAAATGAAAAGTGTTTTTGTCACTTTTGTATCTGAACGTGAGGTTCTTTAAAAAATGCTTTGGTTTACTGTGTTTGAAAGTCGGCATTTCAAGTTATTATCATTTTGCTACGAGTTTTTTTTGAGGATTTGAGGGTCTACTACTATTCCCTATAGATCGGGTTAGACAATTTTTAGGGTTTGAGACAAAAGACAATTTTTTAACTATTTAGATAAAAAAAAATTGCCTTAAAGTTAATTTTAAAGATAAAATCTAAGTCAATTTTGAAGTCAATTTTGGTGTTTGATGCCAAAAAAGAAGACATTCAAGTGCTTGATCAAAGGCATCTGTGTATAGGGTTGAAACACAAACCATGCATTTGCAGTGGGGAATTCTTTGTGCGTCCATGTCTTTCCTTTAGGATTATTGGTCTCCAATCGTGTGGGTTGCAATGGTGTTTTGCACAGCCCATGTCCTTTCTCTAGGATTATTGAGATCCAGCTGTACTACATGTTGTTGTGGGTTTATAAAACTGCTTTTGCTTCCAGCATTTTTCTGGCTAGGATTATTGCACGGCCATTCATCCAGTGCACTGTGTTTGGTGCTGTTTGGCTTTGCGCAGAACTGTCTGAGTGGTGTCTTTTTGTTTGCCATGAAGCGCCTGACACCAGACCCCAGTGTGAGCATAGCTGACCTGATGGAGCCTTTCGATAAAATGTTTGCAGAAGAGGGGTCTTTTGACTTGTACAAGCTGCTCTTCCCTCCTTGCAAGAGCAAACCAAAGTGGAAAAGTGCCCCTGATGCAGAGTGGATGGGACAAAAGCACATCTCCAGGCTCCTGTGGAGATTGTTCAAGATTCACAGCAATGGGGTGATGGCTTCCTCCAAATTGAAAAGTGCCATACACAAGATCCAAATGACCAAGCAAAGGCTGAACTTCAGCAGGATGGATGACCCAGATTGGCTGAATGATTGTGATGATTTCATACGTATCATGGCTGCACATTGCAGAGACCTCAAGAAGTCTGAAGACAAGTACATTCGATGCATGAAGAAGGCTAGCAAGGAGGAAAAGGAGAATTTGGACAATGCTTTGTCTATGTTGAAAAATTTGGAGCCTACCAGCACTTCTACAGATGATTTGCCTGAAGCTTTGCAGGATTCTGCCTTGCAGAGGAAGTCTAGCTCTCAGGATTTGAGAGTGGCAGGTTCTGAAGCAACCTTTTCTTTTGAGGTGAGGAGCCGGGTCTTTGCTCAAGTTCTATCTAAGCAGTCTTCAGACCCTCTGAGTCCAAACAGAGGAGGTGGCCAAGCTACCCAGGCTTTGGCCATTGCAGATGCCCAGCCTGATGCAGCAATGCCTTCTTCATAGGTGGTGGCAGAATGCTCCAAAAGCAAAGTTGCTGCAAGCGTTGCTTTCAAGAGGTCCTATGAGCAGCTGGCATTGGGGGAGGATGAGCGAAAAGAGTTGCAAGCCTGGATGGGCTGTCCCTTTGAAGATGGTTCAGTGCCTCAAAAGAAAACAAAAGAAGAAGAGCCAATCCTCAAAGCCCAGGAAGGAAGAGAAGAAACCAGCTGCAAAAGGTGAAGGTTCCTCTGGGCAGAAGAAGAAGAAGCAGGCCTTCTACAAAACCACTTCAAGACACAGGGCCACCTCTGATGCCTGGCACCAAGCTGCGAGAAAGGCCAGGAAGGCTGGCTACTCTGCAGAGAAAGTGAAGGAGCTGGCCAAAAAGGCTTCGCAAAAAGTTGCCAGAGAGCTTGACCAGCAGTAGGTGTGCCCACAATGCGCTGTGGCAGAGCTAGTTGAGCTAGAGGTGGAAAAAATGCTATTGGCTGCCCATGTCTGTGTTTAGGGTTTTTGTGGCTGAGCTTCAACCTATGTGTGTTATATGAAATAGGAAAAAACTTTTCTACATGAGGCATTTTTGGGGCCCTTGTTCTCCTCAGTGTTTTATGGGATTATTTTGGCCTGGGTTCTTTAGGATTATTTTGGCCTGGGTTCTTGCAAACATGTGCCTTGTAGGCACAAGAGATTTGGGCAGCCTTTGACACTAGAATTATTGTGGTTTAGCATTTTGCTACCAGAGTGAAGGAGGGGTTAGGATTATTGTGGCTGCATAGCTGTGGTGCACTAGAAAGCCTCTCTAGGATTATTGGTGCCCATGCATTTACCGTTTGTGTTTCATTTTTTAGAACTGGCTCACCTAGGGCAGTCCAAACAAGTACAAGCATAGCAGCAACTATGTTTCCCAGTCCACCTCTTACCATTTCAGCAATCACAAGGTTGAAGCAGCAACTTCTCCAGCACCAATGCCCACAATAATGCAACCCAAAAAATTGCTAATGACATCTACAATCACCATTTCTAACAGGATTATTTCGCCTGTCCTCTGAACATTAGGATTATTTAACCAATATTTGGAGTTGGGATGTGAATGCATTTTAGGATTGTTTTGTGTGTCATCTAAACTGATTCACTGCATCAGGAAACCAAAGAAAGGAAAAAATGAAGATGAAGGTGATGAGGCTGGCATGTGAAAATCATGTTTGTTCCAGTTTTCATTTTGGTATTGGCAGGCCTGAAGGATGCTGGAACCTGAAGTGCAGCTGTGGAGACTATAAGTCAAGTGCAGGAAAAGAAATATTAATTATACTTAATAAATATTACAAAAAAGCGCCACTGTTTTTCAATTATATATATCTAGAAGACTTATTTTTCAATTATATGGTATTGCTTTATATTTTTCAAGAACTGAAGTCGCATTCAGGGGACACCACTTCAGAAGATAGCCCATGTCAGACTTGTGCCTTCAAAAACTAATCAAGTTTTGAGAAACAGCAATGTTTTTTAGACAAAAAATACTTGACAACAGGTTTCAATACTCATGTTTTGCTGAAAATTTGATTGAAAAAGCGTATCACAGTGACAATTTGTAGACATTTTGATTAAATTTTGCCATTTGAAATTGACACTTTATTGACACTTTCACAAAACTGTCACTTTTGAAAGTGACAGTTTATTGAAACTTTCACAAAACTGTCACTTTTGAAAGTGACAGTTTATTGAAACTTTCCTATTGAAAGTGACACTTTTGTGACAGTTTTTTGAAAGTTTAAATTGAAACTATTAAACTTTCAATAAAGTGTCAAAAACAAAATAAACTAACAAAAAAGTAACACTTTGTGAGTGAAAGTTTGGTGAAAGTTTCGATAAACTGTCACTTTCAAAAGTGATAGTTTTGTGAAAGTTTCAATAAACTGTCACTTTCAAAAGTGACAGTTTTGTGAAAGTTTCAATAAAGTGTCAATTTCAATAGTGGCAAAACTGTCAAAATTATTCAAAAAATACTGAAAAACTTCTCAAACCAATGATTTTTTGATTATAAACCATTGTTTTTGTTGACTTTCTGAATAATCCTAGCCAGAACAATCCTAAGAATTGAATGAACAGTTTGCACAGGTCGCACTAGGTCACTAAAAAAAACTTGACACCAGAGTTTTTTGACATACCATGGTAGGATTATTGTGGCATTGCGCATAAGGATTATTATGAGGCTGTGCTGTTTGACATACCATGGTAGGATTATTGTGGCATGGCACATTAGATTATTAGGGCTATGCTGTTTGACATACCATGGTAGGATTATTGTGGCATGGCACATTAGGATTATTAGGGCTATGCTGTTTGACATACCATGGTAGGATTATTGTGGCATGGCACATTAGGATTATTAGGGCTATGCTGTTTGAATTTGCCAGTGTTTCTGGTTCAAAGGGGTGAGCCAGAGCCACACTAGGCACTTTTTTGGTTGGACAAAGCCATGGCCCCAAGTACAAAGGCCAAGAAAGAGGGAAAAGACAAAACTGAAAAAGAAGAAAAAGAGTAAAAAGACAAAAAAGAAACATCACAAGAAGCCAAGAAAGAGGCCATTTCCTGAAGGCCAAGTATGATGTTCCTTCTACAACCACTGTTTTATTGCCTTTCAGCAAGGAAGAAGAGTTTCAGCAACTACTTCTGCCACATGAGCTGTTCTCCTGGCTGTACCACAATAGGTGGGAACATTTCAAGGCTGCTTTCATGCCTGGTGGGCAGAAGCAATTGGTGGAATTTTGGAAGAGGTTTCACAACCATCCCTGTATGGATGGAAATACAACCATTGCTTCCAGGAGCAATTGGCAAAAGACTTCTTTGCCAATATCTCTTCATGGAGACGGTGTTCCAGTGACAGCTCTTGGCAAAGTGTGGGGGAAGTGCATGGAGGTGTATTCCTGGCAAGGATTGTTGGGCTCTGGAGGCACAAAAAACACTACTTTCATGATTTGGTGTGTGCCTTGTCTGAAGAGTGATGCCA